TCTCTAATTTGCCCTCCTCCTTCTTGCCCTTCTCACACCTCTCCTAGCTTTTTTTTTTTTTTTTGGAGAGAGACGGTCTTGCTGTGTACCCTAGGTGGCCTCGAACTTATGGCAATCCTCCTGCCTCAGCCTCCCGAGCACAGAGATTCCAGGTGTGCGCCACATGCCCAGCTTCTCCTGGTTTTTTTAATGGTCAAAGATACTGAAACTGAAGCGTATTTGAAACATAGTGGTGTTGAATAAAATTTGAATTTTTTGTTTTTTATTTTTTTTTTTTTTAGTAACTTACACTTAACTTTTTATGTGTCTGGGCAATTTTTTAAAATATTATTTGTTTTTGACATTTGTAAACCTTTGAGGTAGCCTTTCCTGGGTACTGGCAGTCTCCAGGGGTAGGGGTGGGGAAGCGTTGCTCCTCCTGTGGTCTGAGGACTTAAATCTGTGTGGCTGAAGACCCAGGTCGATGCACCTAACTGTACCCAGGGAGGCCGGACTTGACGTGAGAGAACTTTCCTACCATGAGAACATGGCAGTTGTCTCTTACCCATCCTCCTGCCTCCATTCTTCCGCCATTCAGCCCAGCTTTCTGCAGTAGTAACACCATCACTTCTTGCTCCCAAACCATCCATGGCTCCCCATTGCCTGAAGAGCACAGGGCAAGTTCCTTTACTTGGCATACTATGTCCTCTACTAGCTGCCAGGAACTTCCTAACCCTTGCTTCCAGGAATGGAAGGTAGACCAGACCTTTAGAAGTCATCTGTTCACAGACCCGGCTGCCTCCCTGAAAGCACACTAAAAAGCAGGCGCTGGTCTCCGAGGAGGCCTCTCCCACCCATGAACCAAGCCTCCCGGCATTCACACCCTCATGTATTCTGTTCTGAACGGGACCTGTGACTGAGACAGCACAGGAATCGTGCCATCCTTCCTGGTGTCTCCCTCTGGGCTGCTCCTGCTTGGGTCTCAGCTGTCCCACTGCGGGAAGCTAGGGTGCATGCAGGGCCGCGAGGAGGCAGCTAGCCAAGGCCAGCAGCAAGTGCCAAGCAGCGGGAGCCAGCAGGACACCTAGCCCCACCTGCCGCCTTCAGATGCTACCTGACCACAGCAACTCCAAGGAGCCCCAGTGAGGGTCCAGCAGGGCCGGGCAACCATGAAGACAATACAGCACTGATTTCACTGCGGAGTGTCCTAGGTACGCCAATGGAAACTAGCTTCACTACATCTTGGCTGATCCTTAGCCTGTAACTCTGGATATTCAGGAGGCCGAGGCAGGAGGATCGCAAGTTGAGGGCCAGCCTAGGCCACTTAGCAAGACCCTGTCCCAAAATAAAAAAAGGAAAGGGCTGGGGATGCAGCTCAGTGGTAGAACGCCCTGAGGTTCAACTTCTAATACCACAAAAAACAAACATAATCCCATCTACTCAAGAGCCTGACTGGGAGAACTGTCAGTCTGACGCCCACCTGGACAACTCCGCAAACTGCTGTCTCTCTCTCTCTGATAAAAGAAAGCGTCTGTGTGAGTTCCAACCTGAACTAGCCAACTTTCTCATGAGACACATTTCTTACCTGAGAGATTAATAGGCAAACAGTGATCATCAGGACAATTTTTTGTTGTTTGTTTGTGGAACTGGGGGTTGAACCCTGGGTTATTCCACTACTATATTTCCAACTCTTTCCATTTCTGAGACAGAAGCCAGGTGTAGTGGTGCACATCTACAATCCCAGCACCTGGGAGACTGAGACAGGAGGGTCACCTTGGGTTCAAGGCCAGCCTAGACTACAAAGGGAGACCCTGTCTCAAAAAAAAAAGTCTAGGGGCTGGGGATTTAGCTCAGCAGCACAGCGCCTGCCTGGCAAGTGCAAGGTCGTGAGTTCAATTCCCGGTACTTTTTTCTTCGAAAAAGATTTGACAGCATATTAATAATGACAAATCAAGGCCTCAAGAAAAAAAGTTCACATTATGAAAAGCACGTCACGTATCTAGCATAAACCTGACAGTTTCCCAACCCACAGAGACTTTTCTGATGAGCCCAGTGATAGTACTCAGAAATAAAATTTTTCATACTGTCAAGTAAAATATGTCTACATTTGAGCGATCTACATAAATTAGGGTACTGATATTTCCCAATGACCCATTTAAAGTAAGTGATCCACTTATGTACAAGATATACTAAGGGAACCTGGTACGGCGGTGCACACTTGTAATCCCAGTGCTCAGGGAGGCCGAGGCAAGAGGATCACAATTTCAAGTCTAGCCTGGGCAGAACAACGTAGTGAATCCCTGTCTCAAAATAAAAAACAGAAAAGCTCAGTGCAAAGAAGAGCCTAGGTTCAATCCCCAGTACCACAATCACTCAATTAACAAATACCAATGGATTTTAGTGTCACAAAAATGAAAAATTTATTCATATTCCACATGGTGGCTAATCCTAAGGAAACTACCTTTCAAGTCAAAATACGGTATGCAAGAAGAACACCCACGATTATCTGCCAAGGCTATTAAAATACTCCTTCCTGGGTCGGGGATATAGCTCAGTTGTGCATTGCCTGCCCGGCAAGCGCGAGGTCCTGAGTTTGATTCCTGGTACCATAAGATAAAACAAAATAAATAAAATACTCCCTCCTTCCCAAACCACAAGCTGTATGAGGCCTGATTTTTTTATGTCCTTCAATTAAAACCCTGTATTATACAAACGTGAATGCAGAGGTAGATACAAGAACTTAGCTGTCTTGCCAGACATAACAAGTTTGGCGAAAAGAAGTTATTTTTCATTAAAAATGTCACTTATGGGGCCAGGGACATAGCTCAGCAGCATTAGCACCTTCCTGGCAAGCACAGGGTCCTGAGTTCAATTCCTGGCACCAAAAAATAAAAATGTCACTTATAACAGGTCATACAGCCAGGTGCAGTGGTGTACGCCAGTAATCCCAGCACTCTGGGAGGCTGAGGCAGAAGGATTGCAAGTTGAAGCCCAGCATGACAATTTAGCAACTTAAGGGACTGTCTGGCCAAGTGTGGTAGCACAAGCTTGTGATCCCAGAACTCAGCAGGCTGAGGCAGGAGGATCGCCTTGAGTTCAATGCCAGCCTGAACTACACACTGAGACCTTGTCTCAAAAGCCCAGAACAAAACTTTCTTTCAAGGCTCAATCTAAGACCCAGTTTTTTTAGGGACAAAGCCAGCCCTCAGGGACAACTTGCTCATCTAAACATATATCCTCTAAAGAGGACCATGTTCTTAGCATCCACCGGCTCTACAGCAGTCCAAGCATTTTCTTGCTGTGCATCTCCTCTCCCCTGCTAGGTTCTTCACCCTTGGAGGAAGGGTGGCAGCCAAAGTCCAGGTCTGAAACATTTGTCACAATACTTGGCCCACAGAAGTGTCCCAGGTAAAAAAGACCAAGATGGTAACAATCACAACTTTTTGAGGATAACAAAGAAAAATAAAATAAAACTGTAAAATATGATAATCATACCCTTGCTAAAAGCAACTAAGACAACAACGCACTGGACAGGGAGCTCAAAGCTCACAAATGAACCAGACACAGCCAGAGATGGTGGTACACGCCTGTAATACCAGCACTCGGGAGACTGAGGCAGGAGAACTGCTGAGAGTTCGAGGTCAGCCTGGGCTACATAGTGAGTTCAAGGCCAGCCTGGCAACATAGCGAGACCTTGTCTCAACAAAAACAACACCAAAAGAAATGAATCTGCCATAAGGCAAATCAGCTGGTTTCAGGACTCTTCCTGTCCATCCCCCACCAACTCAGAAGCCTCCGCCCTCTTCTTCCTCCCTCACATTGCCCACAGAGGAAGGGTCCGGGCCTGCAAGATCCACAAACAACCTGATCCCCGGGGCTCGCCACCCGTCTTGCAACAGGAAAAGCTGCGGGGTGTTAGGAGCAGAGCAAGGGAAGTGCGGTCCGCAAACAGCTCCCGGAGCCACGAACTTCCCAAACTTCAGAGATGAAACGTGACAGGAGGAGGGGTTTCCCGGTCCCAGCAGGGACCCACAGTGAACCTCAGGTCCCCTGGAGCTGCTCTTATGAAACCTTCGGGCATCCTGAGGACACAGCATTGTTCAGGCTGGGGGGACCCAGCAACCGCAGCAGAGCCGCAGAGCCGGGAGAAACAACTGCGTCCTGTGTGTGGCAAACCACTGGCCCAGGAGGCGGGAGCTGAATCTGTCTTTCACTGTCATCATTTTCCCAGAGCCGAGTGTGTGGGGGACGCTCAAAAATGCCCATTTCATAAATAAAAGAGAATCTCAGTCAGCCTCTTCGTGGCCTGGCATCCTAGGTACCCACATGGATAGAGGGGAAAGTTTGTTCAATTACTCATTCAACAAAC